GATAATTCTAAAATAAAGTGAATGGAATTAAGTAGAGCTCATTTGTATACAATATAATCTTGAGATGTCCGTTTAAACTAATCTCTAAAATCCTTCGGCCAGATTCTCTGTGGCCTTGCAGCTTGGGTAGTTGATTATACTAGTAGATCAAATGTGAATGGCAACAGTCACTCACTCTGCACTGCTGTAAATGGTTATGCAAGGTGCAGGGCAACAGAAAATCAGTCTTGTGCTTTTTAATCTGATTTATACCTCTGTCTGGATCTTGTGAGCTTTTACGTATTGTTTTAGCACACCACTGTGACAATCTCTGCCATTATGGTCACTACTTTTAAAAGACTATGATAAATATTGTACAAAGTATGCCTTGTGAAGTATCATTTGAAAACTCAATCTGCTGAAAATTATTGCCCTGGTAAAATGTGTATGGCAACATATGTAAAGTTATAAGATTCTACTGTATAACACTCCTGTAACATGTTCCAAAGATAGAATGGCAGGCCCAAACCTGTTTTTCAGATACAAAGACAGATATCAACAAAGTCAAGTGGGCTATCATTTAGTTAAGTGGCCATTCTCTGGCAGAGGGGAGGCATGAAAAAGAAATTTACATTTCATCATAATGACACCCACAAAAGAGAGTTTGCACCATGACTAAGCAAGGATGTTTCTAGCACAAGAAACTGAATTATCAAGAGGGGAGAAAAAACACTTGACCACCTTCATCTCTTAAAGAACTGAACTGGGGCAGGGGAAGAGTCCTAGCTGGGACAGTACAGACTGCTGTAAGCTTATGGTGAGAAAAATCTTTTGCTTTTAAGGTCACTTCAACGCTTGTCAACGCTTTATCTTTTCATTACTTTTGTAACCAAACCTGACTTTTATGCCTCATTACTTTTAGTCTCTTGAAATCTTTCCTTTCTTTTTGTAGTTAAACTTACAGTATTGTTTTATCTTAACCAGTGTGTTTGAACTGAAGTATGTGGGAAACTCCATTTGGTATAAATACACCAGCCTTGTTTCCTTTGATGAAAGGATGGACTCCCTATAAGAGTGCATTGTCCAGTACACGCTAGGTAGTCCCAGATGCACATTTCAGGGCGACAAGGCTGGGACTGAGAATTTTGTGGTGTTGCCCTGTATGTAGTTCATGAATGGCTGGCAGAGCATTCATACAAAATCACTCCCAACTATTTTACAAGTCAGAGGCACTGTCTGAATAGGCTAGGAGTTGATGTTCTTACAGCAAAGCAGTGTAAAAGGCACCCCAGTTCAGAGATTTGAGAGGACACGGTGTTCAACAGTCCAGATTGTACCCTGGAGAATGTCACAACCACATTGTGGGCTGGCACCACAACAGTGTGGATTTGTATATTTCAGAAAGACTAGACAAGACATTGGTCTCCTTCAGGTCAGAAGATCTGCACCTCTATGAAAAAGATTCATATTGTTTTACCCTTGAATCCATGAGGTAAAAAAACAAACAAAACAAAAACAAAACAGGAAAAAATGCCCTTTCAATTGTGCATGTGTGGATTCCAGCTTTAAAATGCA